CTTCTCTTGTAGTTCAGCATAGTGTTCAACCATTCTAGCATGTCCAAGGACAGATCTACCAAGTGCATCATCCAACTCCTCTGTGCACCTCTTCTCTAATTTCAATTCCATCTCAGCCTTCTCCGCACGGTGGCGTTGGGCTTCCAGATCCACTCTCAGTTCATCAGTCAAGGATATCCACTCGCTTTCCATTTCTGTCCACCTATGTCTCTCCTTCTCAAGTTCTTCATCACTGCTATTTCGACAATCTACACTCTTTCGCAGTTGGATGGAACGTGACAACAAAGAGGATCTCAGTGATTCAGTAGATTTGTTGGGAATTGCAGCAGTGTATGACTGTAATTTACTCCTTAATGTTTGAATTTCCTGAAGAAGTGCTTCCTTCTCATTCACATCAAAATGTGTGCTTTCATTCTGAAGATCTGTTACTTCCTGAACTTCCTTTATTTCACATTTTTCTTTTATAACGTCCGGTTGACTGCATCCCATATCCTGAAAAATGAATGGGAAGAGCTTGAGAAACATTAAAAAAATAACTTTCTGTAGATTCAAGACAAATAAATAAATAAATAATAAAACTTGCCAATGTCAAAAAGGAAAAATTAACCTTGTGATCCTTTTTCTGCTCAAATTGCACTATTGCATTATCGGGAGCATCGTCAATCATCGACATTTGCCTCTCAATTTTGTATTGTTCTACCTGACAACTTAGCTGCTCTATTTTGGCTGCTTGTTCTGTACAAATTCTTTCAAGCTCTTTCTCTCTTTTGGTGGCATTTGTTAAATCATTCACAACATCCTGATACAAGCAATAAGCAACAGAACAAATGAATACCTTAAGCAAGGAGAACATAAAGGAGAATTTGAGAAGTTAATGGCAATAAGTCAAGACATACTTTGGCCTCTTGGTCTGTCACTTTGTTATGATTCTCCGCTTCATCAACAATCCATGTCTTCAAGCTGTCCTCAACCTCACTAGAATTATTGTCGATCTTCTTTTGGCAAGATGAGCAAAGTAGAGCAGCAGCAGAACTATTTAGTATTTGAACAGAAGCATTGCTCTTATCAGCTTCTGGACAAGTTTGCAGTGTCAAGTGCTCAAAAGAAAATGAAAGGCTAGATTTATCTGATGCTGAATTCTGTTGGTGATGGTCCATAATCTGCAGTCCTCTTTGGAGGCTAGTAGCCAAAGATTCAGTTGGAAACATCTTGCTTGAATGCAAAGAAGATCTTATGTGCTCACCACGTTTCAATGACCTGGAACTCTCCAACATATTATTCTGACTTGACAAAATGGATGATGAAGCAACCATGCTTTTCCTTTGAGTATCTCTTATTTTTGGAGACTCTGACAATGTTGGCTCTTCAAGTATTGAAGAGTGATGGCATGAACTAATAGATATGCTATTTCTGGTGTCCATTGCTATTGAGGTCTTAATTGGAAAGGGAGGTTCACCTGCGGATGTTACACTGTCATAAGTTTCTTCCAACTCCATTTCTTCAGCACTGTTAAAGTCATCTTCACTTGGCAACTCTGCACCACAACTTTCTTTTACAGAAGAAGATAGGATGGAGCCTCTTTTTTCAGATGGATCTCTCAAGTTCTCTTCAAAACAACCTTGCAAATTAGCCAGCTGTTGATGTAGTTCCTTGACGTCATCCTCACCAACATATACCTCTTCCTCATGGTCGTTGCCTATATTTGGCATGATCAAAGAGCGATTAAGGCTGTCTCGTAACTGATTCAAGCTATCACGTACATTTTGCCCTTTAAAGTATCCATTTTTACTTCCACCTGAGCTATAAACGTCAGACTTTGCTCTTATGAGTTCTTCCTGCAGCCAAAATGATATGCACTTCAAAATCCTCATCAAGTCATGATTAGTTGCAAAATGAACTTGAAATTTGCCCCACAGAATGAGGTACATACCTTTAGTTGACGAATCTGATCACTCAAGTCATTAACATCATCCTCTGATATCTCATTTATAATTGGCTCATTTCTTACAAATTTAACTCGCTGTCCAAATCTGAGAGTGCTCAGTATTTCCCCACTGTTTCTGAAGTAAACACGGAATGATTTTTTGTTTAGATAACATATGTTTTTCACATGTAGTGTATTGTTTTCTCTATTAAGCTCATTCCTTGATTGAAGGGACCTGACTTACGTGTATCCACAAGGTAAATAAAGACAGGCAATTAAAAATGAAATACCTATTTGGAGAAATGTTGCAGATAACTGTGAGTTTGGAATTGCCACCAAGTGATTCTCGAAATATACTGGTTAAACATGAACTCCCATATGAAGCATCTTCATAATTTTCAGGCTGACTGCTTTTTGCAAGATTGTTTACCACATACCTAAACCGAGAAGGCAAAGCAATACTTTAGAGAAGGTGCATTCTTAGAATGTCTTCCTTCCTAAATATGGTACAGGCAAATGTCATAATAATCCGACTATACAAAAAAGAAAAAAAAAAAGGAAATTCAAGTAGGTCTTCCCACATAAGGTATCAATCAAGTAAAGAAAGAAAAGAAAAAGAAAAGAAGAAGGAA